CACACTCCATCTCCACACCTCCACCCTCCAGTCTGATCACCTGCCTCAGTTTCTGCATCGGCACAGCTGGCTGTTGTGAGGATTTATGGGCATAATGGATGGGAAGCCCTTAGTACACAGTCAAGCTCTCCCCAAACACGGGGGATTACTGCTGTCAGTATTACCCAGACAGCTCACAGGAGGCAGAGGATTCCAGGCAGCCAGGCCTCTGAGCCCAGGCTGCGCTGGACAATAATCCTGCCTCCCGATTAGCTCCCACCAGGAGGAAGGAGAAATGAGGCTTCAGCTGGGCCTACCCGCAGTCAGACAGACTGACCCAGTCAGACCCTGGGGTTCTGACAGAGAAGGAACCAGGCCAAGTAGCCCAGGGGTGCAAGAAGGAAGGAAGCTGGATACAGGCAGAGGAAGACAGCAGCCAAGGACGTGGCTGAAGACGGGCCTGGGCAGAGGATGAGACAAGGAACAGATAAAAAGCAAGAGAACATCCTCTCTCTTCCTACCACCCTCCTGAGCTGCTGCAGAGATTAGTGGAATGACTTCCTGTGGTGGGTACAGCAGGGCTCTGACATTTACAGCCCATGAGGTCTCTTTAGGGCTAACTGGGTGTTTAAAAGCTTGTCTAAAAGCCACCCTGTAAGGGGAAGGAGCCAACCACGAACCGGAAACCTGGGAGGTGTACAAATACTGATGTCACCTCTCAGCAGGAAGGAGCAGGGGTGGAGCAAGCTGAGATTAAGACCCTGGCCCCTGCTGTCCACATATCCAGGGGGACCCACACTGTGAGGAATCAAGGGACATCTGGAGTGCCTGTGAGCACAGGTCCTTTCTGCTATACTGGCCTTCCTGCCATTCCTCAAACACGCCAGTTTGTTTGCAACTCCAGGCTTTGGTTTTTGTTTCCAGACCACATATTACTGACTCTATTGCATCATTCAGGGCTCATCTCAAGTGGCTCCTCCTCCTAGAGGCCTTCCCTGACTACCTAATCTAAATTAGCCCACTCCCTGCCAGGCTGGTGTGGCTCAGTTAATTGAGTGTCATCTCATGCACCAAGAGGCCCCGGTTCAATTCCCAGTCAGAATATATAATGTTTTTCTTTCTCTCTCTCTCTCCCCCTTTACCTTTCTCTCTCTCTCTCAGATCAACAAAAACTTTTTTTTGTTAATCCTCACCCGAGGATATTTTTTCTATTTATTCTTTAGATAGAATGGAAGAGAGAGAAAGAAACATCAATGTGAGAGAGACACATCGATTGGCTGACTCCCACACGACCTCGACTGGGGCTGGGGATTGAACCTGCAACCCTTCAGTCCACAGGCCGACGCTCTAACCACTGAACCAAACCAGCCAGGGCAATATAAACACACACACACATATATATTTAATTTTCTTTCTTTTTTTTTTAAAATCCTCCCAAGGATATTTTTTCCATTGATTTTTTTCATATAGAGTAGGAAGGAGACGGAGATGGGGGAAGAGAGGGAAACATCAATGTGAGAGAGACACATCAGCTGGTGGACAAACCACAACCGAGGTATGTGCCCTTGACCGGAATCAAACCTAGGACTCTTTGGTCCACAGGCCAATGCTCTAACCATTGAGCCAAATCAGCCAGGGCTAAAAACATATTTTTATTTTATTTTATTTTTATTTTTTTGCTTTGTGCCCCTAGCAGGAACCAAACCCAGGACTCTCTGGTCCACAGGCCAACACTCCAATTGCTGAGCCAAACCGGCCAGGGCTAAAAACATATTTTTAAATTAGCCCACTCCCCATACCTACTATGCTCTTCCCCCAGATCCCCACAACTCAACCCTTCATCTCTGCAGGTTTTTGCTTCTTTGTCACCTCATTCAAAAAGCCTTCTCTGATCACCCTATTTATTTATTTTTATCCTCACCGAGAACATTTTTTTCCATTTTTGTTCAGATAGAGTGGGAGGGAGAGAGAGGAAGAGAGAGAGAGAAACATCGACATGAAAGGGACACATCGAGTGGCTGCCTCCCGCATGCCTCCCGCATGACCTCAACCAGGGCCAGGGACGAATCGCAACCAACGTACATGCCCTTGACTGGAATCAAACCTGCGACTCTTTGGTCTGCGGGCCCACGCTCTAACTGCTGAAACAAACTGGCCAGGGCCTGATCACCCCACTTAAAGTCAAACACTCTTGGAGTTCTGAGTGAAGGAAGCCAAGGAGAGGTTAAAACCGGCTGTGTTGTGCATTTTCCTGTCACAGAGGATTTTATAAGCCTTCATCTCATCCGAAATGGCTGCTGCCTGTTGTCTCTACTGCTCGGATTTTCTCCAGAGAGAGTTCCTCACCTGTTTTCTTAAAAACCCATACTATGGCAGCCTCATTAATGCAGGTGGTCATGGCTCAAGTGTGGACAGTTTGGAATGATTATGTCCAAGTTTTTCCAGCATGGATGGAGATGCACCACTAATGAGAATGCCTATTCAAACTGTACCCTGATGGGCAACTGGAACCAGAAAAGATATGACCTAAGGAATATCATGCAGCCCAAACCCTTACCTTCCCAGTTTGGACACTACTTTAAAACAACATACGATATAAGCTACAACAACAAAATGCCACTTTCAACCCATAGACTTAAGCAAGAGCCTCACTGGTTCCCAGGACATCCACCTGAGCTAGACCCTCCTTGATACAAATGCAAAGAAAAGTCAACTTATACAAGTAGCTATTCAAAACCTTAAATTGGACATCACTCTGTGTGTATGTGTAATCGTAACAACTGCCCATTTCAGGGTCTAAGATTCTAAGAAAGAATAAGCAGCTTCATTTTTCCAGAATAGAACATAGGAGGGAGCACATTCTAAGCACAACTAAGAATTTAGCAGACTATAGCACAGTTTCACTCTCTGAATAAATAAAGCACAAAAAAATGTACTCTATCCCCTTTTAACCAAGATTTAAATGTCAATTTTAAGTTTATTACATCTATTAGTTATGCATTAGAGTGTTGTAGGAGAGCATTACAAATAATTATTTCTCTCAAATCTACAACCAGTCTGCTTTTCCCTGCCTTCCATCAGGAGTAAAATTCAGTATAACTTAGGTAAAGTTTGGCTAGATGCTCTCTGGATATGAGTCTAGTAGTTATGGCCAAATAGTGTAACTTTAATGTGATATTAATGAACATTCCTCTTAAGGACTAGAAATAGAAAAATAACTTTTTTATTATCATAGAGAATTTAAAACATACAAAAGCAGACAGAGTATTATAATGAACTCCCATCTTCAAAACTTTATGACCAATTTTACTACCCCAATCTAGTTTCTCTGGTTTTTAAAAAATTAATTTTGGAACATATCTCAGAAATTATATCATTTTACCTATAATAAATAAATAAATAAACAAATATTTCCATTTATATTTCAAAAAGATATGACTATCAATTTTTGATTCCCCATAAGAATCGCTGCAAACAACCATCGATCAAACAAAGCTGAGTATTTAAACCTATAGTAAGGAAGAATATCAGCTTGACAGAATCTTGGTAATAATTGAAAAGAAATATTTGGGTAAGTTATTTTCAGGAATTTGGGGTAAGGACTCAGTTTAAGTTTAAGATGAGTCTTTCAAAGTGGGAAACTGGTAAGGATTGGGAAAAGGTTGTGATTAGTTTAGGGTTAGTGAACACTGGAAGGCAACAGTCTTAATTTTAAAACGGCTAAACTTCGGGACAGTCAGGATGGTGGTGGACTAGGTGGATGTTACATTCATTCACCTCCCAGGACCAAACTGGAATTACAACCGAATATAGAGCAATCAACCTAAATAACCAACTGAAGACTAGCTGAAGAAAAATCTTGTAACCAAGGATTTAGAGTAGAAACTACGTTGAGACTGGTAGGAAAAGGACTGTCCTGCCTTGGCTGGAACTGCTGTTGGTTGGGCATTGTCCTGTGCACAAAAAGGTTGCTGGTTCGATTCCAGCACATGCCCTGGTTGCAGGCTCGATCCCTGGCAGGGGTGTGCAGGAGGCAGCTGATCAATGTTTCACTCTCACATCGATGTTTCTCTTTCTCTCTCCCCCCTCCTCTAAAAATCAATACAAAATATTTAAAAATAAATAAATAAATAAATAAAAATCAAACACTCTTGCCTGGCCAGTGTGGCTCAGTGGATTGAGCGTCATCCCATGGACTGAGAGGTTCCAATTCTATTCCCGGTCAGGGCACATGCCTGGGTGGTAGGCTCGATCCCTAGTAAGGGGCGTGCAGGAGGCAGCTGATGGATGTTTCTCTCTCACATCGATGTTTCTATCTCTCTCTCCCTTCCTCTCTAAAATAAATAAAATCAAACACTCTCCCCCTGCACCCCTCCCACCTCCCTAGTTTCCTCTTCTCTGTCTCACATTCTAGATCTTTCATTGCTGTTTTATTCTTTCCACTGGAATGTCACCTCAAAGAGGGCAGAGATTATTGTCAGATTTGTTCACTGCTATACTGCCAGCATCTAGAAAAGTACCTGGCACATAGTAGGGACTCAATAAATGTTTGATGAGTAAATGAGTAAGTGTGTATAAATATTTAAGAGCAGGAGCTCTGGTCAGATTGCCTGGGGTCTCTCCCAGCTCTTCCACTTACTGTGTGATCTTGGACCATGTATGTAGCCTCTCTGAGACTCGAATTAATCAGTAAAAAGAAAATAACAACAGTACTTACCTCATAGACTTACTGGGTGATTCAATAAGACCATGCATATAAAGAGGTGAAAGCAGTGCCTGGCACCCAGGAAGCACTCAGTATTCTGCTGGCTGCCATCGCAGCATTCACTTGCTAGCATTTCTTGTTTATCTGCTCACTTATTTATCATCTGTCTCCTCCATTCTATTGTCAGCTCCTGCCCGCCTTGCTTACTACTGGACCCCCAGTTCCTAGCATAGTGTGGGAAGAAAAACCAAGCCTCCTCTCAAATCAGGGAATGTGGACTTGGGGGACACAGCTTCAGTTGAAGTAGGAGCCTCACCAATCTGTTTCTCCAGGGCAGCTGCTTCACAGATGGTGGCCCGGGGCAGGATCCCAGGGTCGGTGAAACTCGTCTGTAGCAGGCAGCTCATGACGAAGAAGAAGAGGATGGCAGCGATGATGGGGATGGCAAGGGTCAGTTGGCGGGCCAGGAAGGGACAGCTAGAGAGAGAGACAGAAATATAAGCAGCTACCCCAAGGAGTCCCTGGGGCACAGGGCTATAGCACTAGGCAGGTGTTGCCATCCCAGCAAATACCACATTCTTGAATAGAGCCTCTCCCAGAGGCAGCAGCCACTGCTCCATACATGCCTGACACCACCAACTAATTCTTGCACTTTTGCCCTGAGCCATGACAGATGTGATTAGTAGATCCCAGTACTCTTAACCCCTATACTTAGCTGCAGCCTCAGAATCCTTCTAAACGCAGAGCTTCATGCAGCTACTACCAATTCATTGGAATGACACTTGAGATGAACCATCCATGACAATGTTCACTCACTCATTCAGTCAGTCAGTCATGCACTCCACAAACATTTACTGAAGCCCTCTATGTGCTAGGCAACATCTTTAATAAGAAGCAGGAATACTGGCAGTGAATAAGACAAGAGTCTCCTGCTCCCTCAATGAGGCTTATGGTCTAGTGAGGGGAACAGACATGTAAACAGAGAATTGCCACACAGGGCCTTGCTTGCTATAATGGGGAAAAGGAAGGCAGCAGAACATCAGGAAAACAGGCTGGCTAAAGGAGATGCCTAAGCTAAAACCTGGAGAATGAGTAGGATTCGCCCTGGCTGGTGTGGCTCAGTTGGTTGAGCATTGTCCCATGCACCAAGAGGTTACCAGTTCGATTATGGGTCAAGGCACATGCCCAGGTCTTGGGCTCAATTCCCAGTAGGGGGGTATGGGAGGCAGCCAATGGATGTTTTACTTTCTCTTTTTCTCACCCTCTCCCTTCTTCTCTCTCTCACTCTCAAATCAATAAAAACATATTAAAAAGAAAAAGAAAAAAGAATGAGTAGGATTAGCTAGGTGAAGGGGGTTGGGAGAAGAGCATGGTCTAGCCACTGACATTGTTACCCAAAGGGTGATGTCCCAAGTCAGTTCTGTCAGACCCCTGACCCCAGCTGGCTTGGAGAACACCCTGTGTACAAGTTTGATTTGGAGGCCCCCCCATATTGTTAACCACTGTCCTCTGCTGCCTTCCCTCCCAGAGCCATGGCGGCACTTCATGGGGTGAGGAGCTGCTATTTGGGAGATGACTGGCCTCTGGGAGGCCCGAATCAGCCAAGATTCCAGGAGCTGGCATACTAGTAGGAAGCAAAACTGTGGGCACCTACATGCTATTTCTGGAGCCTCCATTATCGGAGGCTCTGGCCTCCAGAGTGGCCCATCCCTTGAGGAGCAAAAACTGCCAAAGCCAAGGGCTCAAAGTGGGACCCATTCTGCTCCAAACATCTCAGTGCTCCCTAGGTCCGAACCTCAAAAAGAGCTGAACCCTTCATGTCACTCACATAACAACTCAATCAGTCCATGTCCAACCAGACTTCTTGGGAGACAGAGAAGACTTGAAGTCGGAAACTTGTAGAGACCTCAGAAACACCAAGTCCCAGCCCCCTGATTTTACAAAGGGGGACTCTGAAACCCACAGCCAGATCCAAGGTCACCCAGCCAGTAACAGGACTGAGGTCTCCAGGCTCCCAGCAAATGCTCTGTCCATCCATTCATTCAACAACAACTAAACAACAACAAAAAATATATATACACACACACACATATATATATATTTTTTTAATCCTCACCAGAGGATATTTTTCCATTGATGTTCAGATAGAGTGGGAGGGACGGCGGGAGGGAGGTAGAGAGAGAAAGAGAGAGAGAGAGAAGCATCAACATGAGAGAGATATATTGACTGGTTGCCTCCTGCATGACCCCGACCAGGGCCGGGGATCAAACTGCAACTGAGGTGTGTGCCCTTGACCAGAATTGAACCCACAACTCTTTGATCCACGGGCTGACACTCTAACCACTTAGCCAAACCAGCCAGGGCCATTCAACAAATATTTATTGTATTGAGCTCCCACTACACACCAGGCCCTGTTCTAGGCACTAAGGATACAATAGTGAGGAGAATAAAGTCCTGCTCTCATGGAGAAAGGCACGAAACAATTAAAAAGTATACATATGGTATGTCAGACAAGAACAGTAAGTCAGGGCAGAGGGACTGTGGGGCAGGGACTGGTTTACTATATTATAGGGATGGTCAGGGAAGGACAAAAGAGAGTAAGGGAGTGAGCCAGGAGGCTACCTAAAGGTGCAGGGACCTGGTGTAGGAGTGTGCAAGGAGGCTGATGTGCCTGGAGAGAAATGCACAAGGGTAGCAGGAGGAGATGGACACAGGGAGGAAATCTGTTATCAGGGCTCTGGACCTAATCCAGAGAGCCAGGGAGGACTCAGGTCTGACTTACAATTAAAGGTACACTATTGGGGGGGGGGGGGCGGTTGCAGAGCAGAAGCTGGGAGCCCTGCTTGGAGGCCTGTGCAATTAATCTACCAAACCGCACAACGAAGCAAAACCATTTTCGGTAGGAAGGACCTAGAGAGCACCTCTGCCTTTCTCCAGAGCCAAAGGTGAGAATGAGCACCTCTCCTCCACACCCTCACCAACAGCATTCTCATCACACCAGCTCCCTACTGAGTTTTCACCCCAGTGCACACCAAGGTGAGCTCTTGGCCCAAACCCAAACTCCCCTGCCAACTCCACCACCCCAAGTGAGGAGGAGTACAGATAAAGATGAGATGTTTCACAAGCTTTCCCTGAACCCAGAAGCCCTCACTTCCTCCCTCTCTGGTGACAAGTCTGTCACCAGTGAAGATACTCAGCCCAGAGAAGGTCCAACTTCTGAACTGACCAAATCCCACACTGTAGGTCACAGGGCCAACCCACAGCAAGCACTGCTCCCTCCTGCCCTCCTGCCTTGCTGCAGCCCAGTGGGAAGATCCAGGCAGGATACTGGAAAAGAAATGTTCAAAACACCCCCTTGGACAAGCCTGGCAACATGGATCTGAAACTTAGCCCAGGGGCATGGGAGTGGGGGACAATGGGAGCTTCCCAGAGCTTCTGCTTGCTAAACTATCCCAGAACTTTGTATCCACCCTGACTCAGAAGGGAAGGGTGAAAGGGGGAAGCTAAGTGGTAGGAAGTCCTCATCTTGCTTCAAGGGGAAACCCAAGATTGCAGATACATGATCTGGCAGCTGGAAAGGTTACCTGGGGGGGCAGTATCTTTGTGGTAGCCTCATTTGTCATGGCCACAGGCCTCGGGGAAGGGTTTTTTAGCCAAGACAACAGTAACAGCAGCAGCCATCATTAAGTTCTTATTATAGGATAAAAGCTACATGCATGACTTTATGCCATCCTCACAACAACCTTAGGGGGCAGGTACTGTTTTTTTTGTTGTTGTTGTTCAGGTAGAGTGGGAGGGAGAGAGAGGAACAGAGAGAGAGAGAGAAACATGGACGTGAAAGGAACACATCAAGTGGCTGCCACCCGCACGACCGACCAGGGCCGGGGTCAAACTGCAACTGAGGTACGCGCCCTTAGCGGGAACCGACGCTCTAACCGCTGAGCCAAACCGGCCAGGGCGGGGGCAGGTACTGTTATAAGCCCCATTTTATAGATGAGGAAACTGAGGCTCTGAGAGGTGAAGTGACTGCACCAAAGTCTCACAGTTAATGTGTGGTGGACCTGGGATTTAAACCAGGTCTCTTGGCTCCAGAGATGTGTTCTTAACCACACTGTATAAGTAAGTAAGACCACAAAAGATGGGGAGATCTAGGAGGGGAAAGTGGAGCTCAGATAGCATGGGGGGTGTGTGTGTGTGTGTATGTGTGTGTGCAAGGAATCATGTAGCAGGTGGCTGAAGCTAGAAACCAAGGGTAGGGTGGAAAACTTCTGATACAAATATGTGACCCCAGTTAACTAACTGACAGATGTCCACTCCTCACCCATAAAATGGAGGTACCATGTGGGCCAATCCTGGGGATAAGAAGAGGTTAAAACTCATGGGGGCAAAAGTGACCTGACACACAAAAGTACTCTGGACTCTCCTGAAAAATAGAGAGGCATTATAAGCTGTTCTTGCCATGTACAGGTCAGAAGGATACTCCAAATGTTGAGAGGGGCAAGAAAGCCAGGAAGTTAAAAGTGGGGGGGAGGGGCTTGGGAGGTATCTGATGGGGGACAGGAGACTGAGGAAGGAAAAGAAGCTCTGAAGAAGTGAAGGAAAGTGCTGGAGAGGGAAAGGTAGGCCTGAGAGGCCCAAAGATGTTTGAGGGAAGATTGCCTGAGGACCCAAGCAATGGGAGAGAAGCAAGGGGAGAGGAAGGGTCTGAGAGTAGTGATGACCGAGGGGACCCTCAAAGGACCCTGAAGGTAATGAACAAGATGACTAGAAAATCTGTGATGGAAAGTATATAGCCAAAGGCCATGGAAGAAACTCAGAAGTTATCTGGAAGAGGTATAAAGAAAAGATGCCTCAAGGGATCAGAAAAAAATGGGGGTGGGCCAGAGCCAGTCCTGAGGATAGGTGAGGAGAGAGCAGATCTGTCCAAGCAGCCAGGGAAGGCTGGGGGGCAATTCTGATATGGCAGAGAGGATGGGGGTCAAGAGACATGGGAGGGCAGTATTCCTGGCAGAGGCTGGCAAAGGCAGGGTGCCAGGGAAGGATGGGGGTGCTAGGGAGGGGCCACAGAGGATGGGGTGGCTTGGGAGGGAGGATGAGGACGAGGGAGAAAGGATGAGAGAGAATGCATGCAAGGAGATGGAGAGGACTGAAGGCAGACTCTAAGAGGCACAGGGAGGATGCGGGCCCAGAGAGGCAGGGAGTGGAGGGTGCCTGGCAGGTGCTGGGAAGAGGGGGAGTGCCGGGGAGGTGGAAGAGGACGGGTGCCCAGCGGGTACCAGAGGAGCTGGAGTGCCCATCAAGGGCTGCGGAAGGTCGGGTGTGCGGCAGGGGACGGAGGAGACCAGCGGGGATGAGGTGCCGGAGGGGGTAGGGATGGAGGCGCCGCCGACTCACTCGAAGACGAAGAAGAGAACGGTGGTGGTGAGGATGAGCAGCAGCGTGAGCGCAAAGACGCCGCCGTGGCCGGCCAGCATGAGGCGGCCGCCGCAGTAGAAGCGGTTGCGACCCGGGAACACCTCCCACTTGCGCCGTGGGCGGTGGCCGATGCTCCCGCTGCCGCTGCCGCTGCCGCTGCCGCTCCAGCGTGGTGCAGCGGCGGGCAGCGGGGGCCCGGGGCCCGGACCAGGGGGCGCGGCGGGGCCCGGGCGGCGCGCCCCTGGGGAGGCGGGCGGCGGGGCGGCCCCGGGGCTGATCTGCTGGTATTCGCAGTCCTTCATGCGGCCGGCCGCGGGCCTCGCCTCCGCGCCCCGCGGGCCGGCCGCGCCGCACCGGGACCGGGCCGAGCAGCGGAGGAGGCAGCGGCAGCGGCGGCGGCGCGCAGCGCTCGCTCACTTGCTGGGGGCGGCCCCGCCCGGCCCCGCCCCCGCCGGCGCGGCCTCCCGCCGCAGCGCCCCCTCCGCCTGGGCCCGGGATGGCGCTAAGGCCCGCAGCCAGTTCCTGCCCCGATGCAGGCGCCGCCAGTCCCTGCAACCCAGCCGCCCCGGTCCCTTCTGCACAACGAGAGGGCAGCAGACGCGCGCTCGAGGGCTTTCTGTTCCATTTCAAGCAAACTGTTTGTTGGACGTCCCCTATCCGGGCACCGCGCCAAGCACCAAGATTCGAGTGGTGGACTTCGTGATCTACTTCTGCAATCGAATTCCAGGGCCAGGCTTCACCTATCTCTGAGGACTGACTGGGAAGGCCTTTGGCGGGGCAAGCAGGGGCGAGAGTGGGGACAAAATCTTCTTTGAAAGCCAGGGGCCTGTTAATTCCTGTCTTGAAGTTCAAAGTGCCCAGTAGTTGTATATGGCATATGCTCTGGCCTTCCTCACCCAGCTCGGTAATGTGGACCGAGACCCAGGGTTTTCTAGGAGTCACCTCATGTAGGGTTCATGCCACAGGGCCCTAATGTCTTTCAGAATTCTGGACACATTCATTTTCTATTGGTGTGTAACTAATTACCACAAATTTAGCGGTTTACAACAACACACACGAGTCCTTTGCTTAGTCTCAGAAGGCTACAATCAAGGTAAAGTGTCAGCGAGGCTGCATTCTTCCCTGGAGACACAACTGGGGAAGAATCGGCTTGCAAGCCCATTCAAGTTGTTGGCAGAACTTATTTCCTTGCGAATGCATGACTGAGGGCCTGTGATTTTTGCTGGCTGTCAGTTGGAGGTGTCCCTCAGCCATCTGCAGTTCCTGGAGGTTACCACAGTTCTTTGCCATGTAGGCTTCTCCCACATGGCTGCTTACTTCATCAAGCCCACAAGGAGAGTCTCTAGCACTAGACTGATAAGACAAAGTTTTAGATGATGTAATTTATTATACAGTTAACCCTTGAACACCATGGGTTTGAACTGCACGGGTCAATTTATACACATAATTTTTTCAGTAAGTACCTGCATTTTTTTTCATCCACAGTTGGGAGTCCACGATGGGGAAGACTGACTATATGCATTGATGTACGCCATTTTCTTTCTTTCTTTCTTTTTTAATATTACTTTTAATAAGTGTCACCTCTTGAGTATGTGTCTTTATATATGTATATATGTTTTAACTGTTTTTTTAGAGAGAGAGGAAAGGAGAGAGAGATAGAAACATCGATGTGAGAGAGATACATTTATCAGCTAGCTGCCTCCTGCACGTGCCCTGCCAGGGATCAAGCCCACCCATAACCCGGGCATGTGCCCTGACTGGGAATTGAACCAAGACCTCTCAATCCATGGGAGGATGCTCACTGCACTGGGGGGATGCTCACTCCACTGAGTCACACTGGCTGGGCTCCTTTTTGTATAGAGGACTTGAGCATCTGCAAATTTTGGTATCTGCCTGGGTCCTGGAACTGATCCCCTGTGGATACAGAGGGACAACTAAGTTTTTGAGGAGTCAAAAGTTAAACATGGATTTTTCAGCTGCACAGGGGTTGGCACCTCCAACCCCCACATTGTTCAGGGGTCAACTGTATATGTAACGGGAACAACATCCCATCACTTTTGCCATATTCTGTAGGTTAGAAGAAAGTCACAGGTCCCACTTTAACTCAAGAGGAGAGGATTACACAAAGGTATGTGAATATCAGCAGGGAGGAATCACTGGGGGTCACCTTATGGTCTGCCCACCACACTGGGCTTGTTGGAAAACGTAAGGAAAAGAGAGAGCTAGAGATTAGGCTAGGAGAGAGTAAGAAAGGAAGTCAAAATACATGATGGGGCCCAGCCCCTGTGGCTCAGTAGTTGAGTATGGACCCATGCACCAAGAGATCCCTGGTTTGATTCCCAGTCAGGGCACATGCAGAAGGTTGTAGGCTCTATTCCCAGTAGAGGGCATGAAGGAGGTGGCTGATTGATGTTCTCTTTCATTGATGTTTCTTTCCCTCGCTCCCTCGCTCCCTCGCTCCCTCGCTCTAAAATCAATAAAGAAAAACATTTTTTAAAAAATTCAAGATGGGAAAGGGTAGAAAGGCAACAATAGTGGCCTCAAGGATCACTAATTGGTACACATATCCAAGGTGACCCAGCCATACCCTTGGTGTCAACAATTCTGGATTTGATGAGCCTCACCTTGGAGTGAATCAAGTTGTGGGCTTCCTCCCCTCTCACTCCTTGGCTATGGAACAAAGTCACAAAACTGGACATACTAGTTCCAGTACACATTCCTGCTGTCCCACCTCAACTGGGTCCTCTTTAAACCCTAAAACTTTTCTTGCTCCTTGTCACTTCATAGAAACCAATTTGATTTTCAGCTTCCCTCCTCTTTACCTCATATTTTCTTTTTATCCTCACCCGAGGACATTTTTATTTTTTATTTTTTTGCATTTATCTTGAGATAGAGCAGGAAGGAGAGAAGCGGGGAAGAGAGAGAGAGAGAAACATCAATGTGAGAGAGACACATTGAGTGGTTGCAACCCACACAACCTCAACCGGGAATGGAGACAAACTGCAACCAAGGTACATGCCCTTAGTGGGAACCAAACCTGGGCCTCTCTGGTCCACGGGCCGATGCGCTAACTGCTGAACCAAACTGGCCAGGGCTTACCTCATATTTTCTTTAATTTTTTTTTCTTTATTGATTTTGGAGAGAGAGGAAGGGAGAGGGAGAGAGAGATAGAAACATGAATGAGAGAGAACATCAATTGGACGCCTCCTGCATGCTCCCCACTGGGGATTTGGCTCACAACCTGGGCATGTGCCCTGACCAGGAATCGAACTGGTGATCTCCTGGTGCATGGGTTGATGCTCAACTACTGAGCCCCACTGGCTGGGCCATATTTTCTTATTTTAAAAAAATATTTTAAAAATATGTTTGTTATTGATTTTGTAGAGAGAGAGGAAGGGAGAGAGAGATAGAAACATCAATGTGAAACATCATTTGGCTGCCTCCTGCACACTCCCTACTGGGGATCAAGCCTGAAACCCGGGCACGTGCCCTGACCAGGAATCGGACCAGGACCTCTCTGTCCATGGGACAGCGCTCAATCCACTGAGCCACAATGGCTGGGCTCTACCTCATATTTCCTAATTAATCTATCCTTTTTTTTTATCTTAAATATGTGGATATCCCTGCCTGTGGCCAACCCTCCACTTATGTCTTATCTCTCCTCCCGTTCATTGAGACAGCAAACATACTCACTTCTCCTCTACCAATTAAAAAGCAAAACTAAACTAAAAAACCAACAACAGAAACAGCTTTCCGTATTTGGCTACCTCCTTACTCTAGCTTCAGGCTTATTTTATTCTCTCTCATTAGAATCACATTAAAGAGTAGCTATCACTTACTGGTCACCTATTCATTTCTTAACTTCTTACAATTTGGCCTGTCTACATCACTCTCCTAAAACTTCTATCATATATGTCCCTAGTGACCTGTTTTGTGTGGCATAAACTACTCATTCTCACAAATGCCCATAGTTCCCAGCCTCTCTTGTAGATAGGTGTGGCCAAGTGACTGAATTCTGGCTAATAGAATATGAGTGGAAGTGACAGGCTGGCTCATAAAACTCCCAGGTGATGATCTTTGCTCTCCTTCCCATCTGCTAGCAGCTAGCAGAATGGAGGAGACTTTGAGAACCTAGAAGAAATTCAAACCAGCTATCCCCATTCCAAGTTTCAGGGCCCCACTCCTTCTCAATCACAGAAGACTTAGTAAGACTAAATTAAACTGATGTAACTCTGCACCATGCATACATTTTTTGTTTGTTTTATTTGTAGCAAATAAGAGATGTTTTATGGCTATCACTGAAGCTCTATGATTCTCTCTCTCTCTTTTTTTAAATCCTCACCCGAGGACATTTTTCCATTTTTCGTTCAGACTGGGAGGGAGAGAGAGAGAGAAACATCAATGTGAAAGGGACACATCGAGTGGCTGCCTCCCGCACGACCCAACCAGGGACGGGGACAAACTGCAACCAAGGTACATGCCCCTAGCAGGAACCGAACCCGGGTCTCTCGGGATCGCAGGCCGAAGCTCTAACCACTGAGCCAAACTGGCCAGGGCTGATTCTCTTACTATGACTTTGAAGGGGGAGTTTGTTTGTTTGTTTGTTTGTTTGTTTGTTTATTTATTTATTTTAGGTACGTGCTCCTAGCGGGAACTGAACCCGGGACTCTCTGGTCCATAGGCCAATGCTCCAACCACTGAGCCAAACCGGCCAGGGCGAAAGGGGAGTTTAAAGACCCAAATGTGTCATTTTCTGCAAGGACTCATGCATTCAGAAGGATTCCTCCCATACCAAGTCACTGTAGTCATCATCACTGCCACAACAGTCAAGTGCAACAACCATTTAGGCCCCCAAGGCACTTGTTTTAGTTGGCACTTCATCTCCTCAGGTGATAATTTGATTAATCATGATGCCACAGCATGCCATGGATTAGTAGCATCACATTTCTCATTGGCAAGGAGCTTAGTACATTCAAACTCAATGAGACAACCAAACCCGTTCCCTAATCCTATCTTTTGAAGTCTATTTCCTGGGACCACTACTAGTACCAATTTCCATAGCAGTCAGGGTCCAGCTAATGAGACAGCAACCACACCACTGATTGGACAAACAGAATTTAATTTAATGGTTAGTGCCCTGGCCTGTTTGGCTCAGCGGTTGCAGCATCAGCCCGTGAACCAAGAGTCACGGTTCAGTTCTGGCCAGGGGCACGTGCTTCCATTGCAGTTTGTCCCGGTCCTGGTTGGGTTTGTGTGGGAGGCAGCCAGTGGATGTGTCTCTCTCACATCGATGTTTCTCTCT